TTATATTTTTCAAAGACATTGTATTATTTCTGCACTAAAAGCATTGTTGATCTATTGCTCAGCTGTATATTAGATGCCTGTTTTTACCTGTCAGCTCTCCAGTTTGCTGTTCCTGGACACCAAGATGCCTCTGAGGTAGTTCAGCTTCGGTCCCATGCTGCCACCAGGAAGGAGTCCTGCTGGGAGAAGAGACAGGCCTTCAGCACAGCGTCATATACTCCATGGAGTACACCAAGTCTGAAACTGACACAAACCCAAAACAAATACAGACTTACATACAACAACACCCCTAAATGTTCTCCACAGTCAAACGTGTAGCATAAATACACTCACACATACCAGCTGACCAGCCAGTGTCTTCCTGCTGCTGCATCGTGCAGACAGCTGGTAACACAATCAGGTCTGTACATGACCTATTGAGAACTTTAACTAGTATCAATGTTGACACTGGGGGCAGATTAAGTCTTGTTATGTTTTTCTGTGTGCACACTCAGTTATACATCCACCTCCTCTGTGTAACATACACAGTGGAAGGACTGGTGATGGGTGAAAGAGTGCCGTATATAATGAGATGTTGCTGTTTGTTTCCTTACATTTAATGCATTCACACAGAGGAAATTCACACAAACTGATCCACACATGCTTGCAAGCATGTGCACCAAAGGCCTCACTATGTAGAGCTTCAGCTCTCCTAGGAATCTGTCAGTTAGCAGTGAGATGGAGACTGAGGTATGGTCTAAGTGTCAGTGTCTCTCTCACACATACAGCGTAATCTCTATCCAGTGCCCTGCGTCAGGACCTGTGGACTCTGTTTCCATGTATTCAAACTCAGGATTCAGACGCTGCACAGCACTGATACTACACTGGGCTATCCTGTGTCTATAAAAACCTGTAAGAACTTCATTGATACATTCTACTTTAACTTTTTTACATTAGCTTCAGATCATTTCTGCAATGGCAGTGATATTTCCAACCATTTTAACTTGACATGCCAAAAATTTGAGATGGCATAAGTCCACCTGATGGGTCCGGAATGTTTCAGCATCCGGTGTTATCCTCAAGAACAAACACACACATTCTGAGCACTGAACAATGAGGCTGTGAATAATTTGCAAGCTGATTTGTGCATTTGAAGTGTCACAAAGAGGAAAATAAAAGTCTTCTCAGACAATTCAACTGCCAGGCATTCTAGAGAGCTACTCTTGGCCCTCCCGGGGAACTGCAAACAAAAGCTTTTAACACAGGCCTTAAACCTTGAGCACACACTAGAAACACTGTGCCACTTCTTCAGGCACAATGGTATTTAATGCACCCTATCATTTCTACTCATGCACTGAGGGGAACAATGCATTCATTATGCAACAAAAGACTCAACAAAGTCTTTCAATGTGCAATATCCTGTTACCAACACTAATTATAGAAATTGGTGCCAAACAGGTCACTTTGTGCACAACCTGCCCCTCAGCTGCTAGTGTACAAGCATGCGGTTTATTCTAAACAATTCATTTGACTGTTAATGAAGTTTTAATGCATTATTTCCAATACCTGGTAAACATTTTCATAGCAACACTGCTGCTGGTCTAAGACACAGTAGCACAGCACTACTCCTGCACTTTGAAAGATATTTCCGGTTCTTTCAACCAGGAACTCAGAGAGACAAAGCGGACCATTTGGATATATAAAAAAAACCGTGCTGGTTTATTCAAAGGATCACAGGTAAAATCAACATTACACGCTCAGGTATCCTTCACCTCCAATACTGCGCGCAGGCAGATGAAGAATGAAAGATCCCGAACCCAACAGGCCTGTATATTATATCTGGTTTGGGCTAACCCCATTCTACACAGGCACGTCAAACCGTGGCGTCACCTGATATGCCAGCTTTACAGCTGACCGTAGCAGTAGTCAAAACATGGAGAAAATCAATGTGTGTGAGTGTTGATTAAGTGGTGTGTATCTAAGAACATACAGGACATTCAGGGGCATGTCTGGACATTAAGCCTAGAAAGATATTATGATTAAGATTACGGCTAAACATATCATACAGTAGCCACTTTCTATCTAGTTATCCTGGAACATAAACAACCTGGAGTAACTCCTGGAAATGAGTAAGCATTTAACAGCCTGAGCTAGACATCCTGTCTACACTAAAGACATTTCTAATACAACAAGTATCTAACCAATTTCTATCTGACTAAAAATACCTAACAACTTGATTGCACAATCACTTGTGCCAAAACAACAGACTTGTTGAGTAACTCTTGTGTGAGGGACAATGAGAAACTCAACACAAAGAGCATACACCGCAATTTAATACACTGTAATCAATTTCCACTTTTCAAACAGAGATAACCACACCACACTGGAGGGACATTACACATCCACACAGTGTAGAAAAAAAACAAGGCTGTGATATAACAGCCAACAGTGATATAACAAAGCTATATCCAGGAAAGGAAACTCACCATTCAGCTGATGTTTGATCCACACTGAACTCAAATAAAATCTGTGGTGGAAGCCCAGTGTAGGGCAAAAACAGACTCCTGCATAATAACTTGACTGTAGGGTTAGGTGGTGGAGGGGGCCAGTCATAGACTACTGATATGGGATTGCTGGGGGAGGGGAGAACGGGCTGACAGGACAGAAAGAACCTCCAGATAACCAGTTTAAAGGTCTATAAATAAGTGGATATTTCCTGCAGCACACTTCTAACACTTCTTAGTCCTCAGTGGGTTGCATGCAGACAGTGAATGAATGGCATTTGGGCAAAGAAAACTCAGCTAATTTCCAAATAAAAAAAAAAGAACCCACATTTTTCAGGTCATAGTAGACAGACAACCTCAACAGCACAGCCACGTTTATATTTCAACGTGGTCTTATTTAGTTGAGTGAGAAGCGTGTCCAGAGCACTTTCCGGTGTTTGCTCTCTACCAGGTCTTTCTGTTCCCACTGGCGGAAATTGTTTCCGATTGGTCATGAACACAGTTCACTTTTTGAGTTACTGTCTCTTGGGGCATTATTAGGAAGGCACTGGAGAAGTAGAGTACAAAGGCTTCTAGGTCATTTACAACAATTGAATTACTTAAATGAGTATACGCTCTATGGGCTCCATTTTCCTACAAGAGGGCGCAGTGCTACGCTCACGTGGCGCAAGGTAAATATGGGCGTGTTCAACGGTGTTTTGTAATTTTGGTTACAACAGACACCGCGCACTTTCGTGAGCAGTTGGGCAGTTATTAGAGGGAGGAATACATCGTGAGCAGGTAGAGACGGGGCTGGTTTTAGTTATGTCCAATCAAACCAGCTCCTCTCATCCCCTTTAAAGTGCAGTGCGGAAACCTGACTGAGTGATGTCACTGATGTCATATATACTATGTATGCAGTGGCGCTCTTTGGCATCCGCTTTCATGACACGTGGGGGGCGGCACAAGCACTTGGAAAGAAAATAATCTGCGCCGCTAAGCGGTTTTCTATTATCTATCATATGTGGCGCCCCTGCTTGATGAGAAGGTGCCGTGCACAGAAGCTGTGTGAGAGGTGGAAAGGGGATGGGAGGGGGCGCAGGCGCAGTAGGAGAGTTCACCTCTCCCAAATGGAGCGGACGGGGGGGTCCACTTAGTAGGCTAAACTAAGTCAGTGACACCTTGACTTTCTTCCAAATAATGCACATTTGATTCATAATATTAAAAAAACACAGACCTATAATTTGCACGTTTCTGTTTTTTCCAAATTGTGTAAAATGGCTAATACAAATAGGTAATACAAGGTGAATTGGTTTAGTCTTGACTTCTGGTCATGAGTGACAGTGTTGGGGGATGGGAAATCTGTTGATTGGAAAAATAAAAAAAACAGAGCGATGGAGAGAAAAAGGTCAAAGCTGTCAGGTGCCCAATTTAGGAAAAAGAGAAAAGAAGAAGAGGAGAAACAAACAACGGATAAAGGTATGCAGCTATGTTCTGTATGATTACGGTATCCATGTCATCAGTGAAGGGCTAATGTTAATTTATTGGTATATTGTTAACTCTTACGTTTGTTAGCCTTCTTGCTATGATGCTTGCTATGCTTACACAACAATAATTCAGTCAGGAGAGATTGACAGGCGCATCGGTGCAGCTTCTGCAGTAATGCGGTCGATGTACCGGTCCGTCGTGGTGAAGAAGGAACTGAGCTGTAAGGCAAAGCTCTTGATTTACTGGTCGATCTATGTTCTGACTCTCACCTATGGTCATGAGCTTTGGGTCACGACCGAAAGGGCAAGATCCCGGATACAGGCGGCCAAAATGAGCTTTCTCCGCAGGCCTGGGAACGCCTCAGCATTCCCCCGGAGGAGCTGGAGGAAGTGTCTGGAGAGAGGGAAGTCTGGGCATCTTTGCTTAGACTGCTGCCCCCGCGACCCGGTCCCGGATAAGCAGAGGAAAATGGATGGATGGATGATTGTGGTCCGCTACAGCGCACAGCCAGTGGATGTGTCGCCCACTTTATCTCCACAACTGCTTTTAAGTTGACCAAACTGCTATAAAACGCAAATGCAGGCATAACACAAGTTATATCCCTGCGGTAGTAACGAAGGTACGTGTGTGTGAAACTGCAACTTAACAGTGACAACAGCCACAGTAAGGTCGGACTGACTTTAGCTGCTGTATAAAAGGATTAATGGAGACGTCTGCAGAGTTTGTTATTTCTATTAGGTCATGAGCTGCTTTCATGTGTTAACGTGGATTTGGATTCCCAAACATAGGCTGCAGTTCACCTCTGGCTGCATCCTGCAAGTACGGTAGGTGCGTCCTGACGCGAACTAACACTGTTTGGCCATATTCATATCTATAGCCACACGAGGACCAGTTTCTTTATCTTATTTAAGCACAATCGTCATGGAACGCAATAAATTATTCAGAGTGAATTCCAGCAGCTCAGCTGTGGGTTTAAGGGTTCATTTTAAATTGGTATATCCATTAAAATGCCTTTGGGTTCCTTGTCAGTAAAATTGCAAATGCACCTATGAATGTGATAAGAGGTGATCTGAACAGGTGTTATTGTTACCGCTATTTCTGGTCAAAACGAGTACCAAAATTGCACTGCGCTGTCTAACTAGCGTGCACGCGGTCTCAGATGCTCAGCTGCGCCTTTCCTCCCACCTCAAGGCGGGAAAATACAAAACACACCAATGCGCAAAAAGTAGACTTACTCCGAAGGAAAACTGCAAAATGACTGCGAATGAGGCGACGCAGAAATGGTGCTGGCAGGAAACTGGATCCCTGTAAATGCTAAACGAGATGGTATACTGTGTGTGCCAAAGCACAGGCTATTAACCCGGGAGTGTTAATGTTTGCACAACTATAGAATGTGTGATCACGGAGGCAGTCAGCAGGTTGATCTCAGTGGAAAACCACACACATTTATTCCGGTAACCCAAGGAGGTGCAAGAAGGAGCAAATGACGAGATGGTGAGAGCACACATGGAAAAAGTAACTGAAGAAAATGAGTAGCAACCACAAGGGAGTGAAAAGAGGCACACAATATCAAGCGTGTAGGCTGTCTCAGGGCTTGTTTAACAAAATATGATAAAGACAAGTGTCAATATGGTGTGTACGCATTGAGCGAGAAGAGCTTTGGAGACTCCATCAGGCCAGAACCAACTCCAGACAGGAGAGGGCGCTCTATGACCACACGTTGGAGTAGGGGCTGCAGCTTGGGGAGCTGAGCTGGCGGCAGAATAAGTACCTCACCGGCCAAATAAAACGGTATGACGCCAAACTATCTAGACTTTACTTGTTTATCCTATAATCATGGCAGGAAGCTGACTATAATTCACCATCTATGAAATGTTGTTACCAACAGGCTAAGAACTAGTGTTTTTACATTACTCATATTCTTGGTGGTTGATTTTGTATTCAGGGACCAACAGCAGCTGGCAAATTTATAAAAATGAGTGAGGATGAGGATGAAGAAGCCCTGCGCCAGGAGAGTCTGTGAAGGAAAGCACCAAGTCGTATAAGAAAAGGTGAATGAACTGCTGCAATTTGTTCTTCTCATATGCCTCCTCTCTTCTTCTTCAAGTGCTATTTTATTAAATATAAATGAGAACTGGAGGCATAAAACATCAAAATACTCAAAATGTTAATGTTAAATTCTGGTTAAATATAACATAGGAAAATACAATTTTGTTATTAGAAAAACAGCAGGATGTACCTGCTGTGACACACAATCCATGTGGATGTAGCACTATAAGCTAAATATGCTTTCTTCCTCTTTGTTTGTACAGTTATTGTTTCTAGACTTTAAAGTTCAGATGTGGTAGCAGTCATATCATATAGACCACGTTTGTACAAATTACAAAAAAGCATTTGCCAGGTTGATGTGGAAGAGGAAATGGGTTCCAAAAGGCTATCGCATATGATCTCTGCTGCATGCAGTAGTGGAATGTGATGCCACTTTGCTTTGCATGGAGCACTGTGAGAAACACTGATGTCCTTGTGTGAACAATTTCCTTCTGTCATAGTTTAAACCAGTAGTAATTTTTCTTTTTCTCATTTTAGGCTCAACTCGCCCAACTTGTCTGTCTGTCTGGTGGGAAAACCAACTTGTTTCCTTCTTTGTTTTCAAAGGAAATGATGCATTCTCATGTCATCATACTCTCTTTAAAGTGGTTCATGCTGTCTTTTATCACTTAAATTATTTTCAGTGATTAAACTTCACAGTGTATAACTGTTAGTTTCTGTTTTTCTAATGCACTGTACCCAATTTCTTCTCCTATTTGTGTGTGATTAGTTTGCTGCGTTGTGCCGATGACTTGTGGCAAGGAATCAGGGTAGCAAGAACATCACCCTATGTCCTTGTTTGCGTTTCATGGGCCCGTCTGCACAAAATCTGGACAACCCTGTCTGCAGTGTGTGGGGTGAGGCACAACCGCTCCCTGCACCTTCAGAATATGAGTAAATAAAACAGTTAATTAGATCAGATGGTGTTAAATATTAGGTTTTCTCTTAGCAGCTGGTATGAGGTCTTTTGCCTTACTACGGGCTAAATTAAATCAAATCCTTGGTGCCTTTGTGACATTAAAGGATGTTATTTGAAATACAAGTACCAGGGGAGATTATTTGACCCAGACACACTAATCAATAGCAATACAACAGTTAATTACATCTGCCTTTGACATTTGGGAGACAGAGGGGAAAAAGCTTTGTGAAGCACACTAGACAAAATTAAGAAATACATAATATAATAAACAATAATAAAAACAACTAGCCTATTTAAAATAGTGCATTTATTGCAGCTTTTTAATTTGTATATTGCTGTAGTCCTGTTTTCAGTTTTTGGCAAAAGGGTTTTGTTTTTTACAAGCCAGAGATGAGTGAGTCAAATATTGTACTAATCCAGATTTTTATTTTTCATAAATCGTACTGATGTGACGTCATCATCAAGGGACGACAAGTAAAGCAGCAGCAGAAGTTTCATTCATGCTGCCAGCAGCTTGAACAGGCTAGTAGGTAAGAAATAAACCAGTATAATCGAAAGGAAATGTAATCTGCTATTCCGTGTTTGCAGTGTGGGCATAAACTGTATGAACTTGATTTTGTTGGTTTGTGAAATGATATCGGTTGTCCTGATGAGCTGTATACCACAGTGAGTAGTCTTGGGTCTACACAGGAAGCTAACGTTACCCAGACCAGTTTCACATGTTTGTCAACCCACAAAGTTGTTAGAAAGTTTTAAAACGGTGATGTCCTGATAACTGAAAGTAGAGCTGTAGCAAAGTAGACAAATAAAACTGACAATGGAGTAGCCGGTCTGCTCCTCCTTAGGTTTAAGTCAACATGGAGGAAGAGCCAAGAATGAACTTTTAACCTTATCTTTAAAAATATTGAGAAATTGCTTCCTTATACGGGTGCACTTGTGACGTAGACTTAACTTACTCTATAATATACTCTTTTTTTGCAGGTTTAGTAACATGGATTTGCTCAGCGGTCCGTTGGGCGTGGGTTTAGTAGCAGGACTGGGCTGTGGGCTCGTCCTCGGTTGGCACTTTCGGGGTCGCTTTGGCCCCGCATCCGAAAGCCCGACGGCAGCGCTGGGCAACAGCACCGAGGAGGTGAGCGTGATGGGAGAGAGAGGCGAGTTCAAGATGATTCTGGTGGTCCGAAACGACCTGAAGATGGGCAAAGGAAAGGTCGCTGCCCAGTGTTCCCACGCTGCTGTCTCGGCTTACAAGCAGGTGCAGCGCAGGAACCCTGAGCTTCTACGACAATGGGAGTACTGTGGCCAGCCCAAGGTTGTTGTGAAGGTCCCCGATGAGGACGCCCTGATTGATCTGCTGGGTCATGCAAAAGAAGCTGGGCTTCCTGTCAGCCTGATCCAGGACGCAGGAAGGACACAAATCGCGCCCGGGTCACGCACTGTGCTAGGTATCGGTCCTGGCCCCGCTGATCTCATTGATAGTGTCACTGGAGACTTGAAGCTCTACTAGAGCTTCAGCTGGCATCTGTAGGACTTGTACAATTGATTAATTCTTAAAACTATTTGGAATGTAAACAAAGTTGGGATCCCCTAAAATTAATATCAGTTGACTGAATGTTACATCTAAGCTATCTGAATTGTTCTTTCTAGTGATAGTTCTGTACCAGTGGCTTAAACACAGTCCAGTTGTCATACATTGCTCCACACCAACCAGTCTGCTGAGGCCTGCTTCTGAAGACATGATGTTCAGATATCGATTCATTGCACTATTTGTATTACTTTGTCTCAACACTTTTGTTCTCTGAATGACATTGGTTATATGGAGGTAGTATAAATATTATGTCACTGGGTGTCATTAAAAAAAAAAAAAAAGCATAAAACATTTTATATGGACTTGCATGCTGCATTACAATTAAACCTTGAAGTAATTTTTAAATACACAAGGATGAATACTTCCACCTACTGTTTTCTACTAGTGTGCTTCAGATTTGTGCCATCCAAGCATTAGTACTACAAACTGATACTGGCCATACTGAGGTAGCAAAAACAGTTGATTCAACAACTGACAGATTAACTGGTTTTAAGGTACAGTAGGATCAGCATGTTCAGAAAGGGAGGCTGTGCCTAAAACTTGTACCAGCTGCCAATATATAGGCTGTGCCTAAAACTTGTACCAGCTGGCAATAGTTACACCGAGCTAGAACTAATGCAGTCTATTCCCACAGTTCTACAGTAAATTATGTTCAGTTTTTGTTTAACTTCACTGTTTAAAAGTGTTTATTTAGCCTGGCCTCAATGATATTAATTAGGGGGACAAAATAAACACATGGAAGTGAACCACAGGTGGTTTTATGTTGAGGTCACATTAGCATCAACCTCAGATTTCACCCCATCTCCCATTCACTGAAAACAAAGAATTCAGTAATGCATCTCTTCAAATGTTTGGCTCCAACTAACTTCCTGTGTAGCCACCAAAAGCTAATACGCTGTGTTTGCAAATGAAGTCATTTTAAGCATGTGCCGCCACATTGTTAGGAACAATATTACATTGGTCCACAAACGACATCTCTTTCATACACCTCACAATACATGATCGCTCTTTTCGATATTTACTGTCCCTCAGGACCACAGGAGCTGAGTGTGCAGCAGATTAATTAAAACAGTACATGAGACAGACTGTTCTCGACAAACAAGCCTTTATTTTTAAGTGGAAAACAAAACCGCCATTTCATTCATTATAACCCTGATTATGCACTATCAAATATTTTAAGTGCACAATGTAATTCTATGGTAATTTAGATAAGAATGCAAGTTCAAAGGAGTTAATGATTGGTTTTCTGCAAACACGCAAGCCTTTGATTAAAAACGCCAAATGACCACAAGTCTGTGATGCTGTTTCTGAATTGAAAGAAAGAGTGGGTCAACTGAAAAGGTTAAAGGTTACCTCGACAGGATGGGAGGAATCAAGTTTGAAAAATCTCTCCTGCACACTCGATAACAGTGACCTAAAAAGGTATCTAACAGAAACAATCCATAGCATAAGGGGGAGGGGGGGGCGTCATAGGGTATATGTTAGTCAAACACAGACAGGTCTGCAGTCCCTCCCGATGTGGAACGGTCCCACATTAGAGCAGCATTTAAAGCACATGGACATGTTATCTGACTACAAATTGGTTTGGAGAGTTCTGCATAGGCTTTGCTGGAACAAAATCCAACTTTGCTGAAAATTGTATGTAAAATACTCACTCTGGTTTTCTTCAAGAAACAGTCCTGAATTATGAGTGTGGGGACATGACACATACGACGTAGTGTTTCAGGTTGTGGTTATGGAAGCGGTGGTCTCATGTTCAAATACAGAAGAACATAGTAGCAGTTTTGTGTCTGAATAGACAACAATTAAATGCATTTTACTTCTGGACAGGAGCGGCTCACACACATCAAATGGAAAAGGTTCTACATTAATTTCTTCTCACTACAGAGTGCAAATCAGATGCTTCACAACAGACCTTTTTTAAACTGATACGAGGACTAGCTCTTCCTAAAAGCCACCGCCATACTTAAACCATTTCCCACTCAAAACAGACAAAGGAAAAATTAAGCTGGTCAATACGGAATGTAAGAAAATCAAATCTTTGTGATTCAATTGCTTCTTTGACAACAGAAATAAAAATGAGTCCTTCATGACAGTTTTAAAAAGGGGGAGGAAAAAAAAAGCTTAAAGATTTGGTGGTATTATCCCGAGCTCCCTGTAGAGTGCCAGTAATGGTCTGGTGAAGGACTGTGGGAGATGGATGGATGGTAGCTCCAGCCTGCATGTGAAGAGAGAGAGGAGGGGGATGGGGTCTTTACATGCCGTAGCTGAAGCCCGGCTGCGGTGCTGGTTGACCGTATCCTGCAGGCGCCTGGTAGCCATAGCCATAAGCTTGCTGAGGGGGCACAGGTACACTGGGACCTGCTGTCAGCATCAGCTGGGGTGTGCCTGGAAGACACACATGCACAGAGCAAAGATTTGAAACCTGTAAAAAGTTTATTTTAACAGAGCAACTGTTCTGATGCAAAATGTGAATGATTTGGACACAGTGCTTCTTCACAGGCTTGCTGATCTTAGTCTTCAGCTTTAAGCAGTGAGTCATGTTTCCTTTTCAGCTGGGGGACTACCAGACTCTAAAACTGTCTATGGTATTGAATGCATGATAAACAGGCTGTGAAAATACTTGATGTGACCAATTTTTAAACCTTCCTGTTATTACATCAAACATTAAGGCTCCAGATGAATAATAACACAGTTCTGTAAATGCTAGATGTTTAAATAAGCAACTGTTTGCTGACTAGTTGATCATACCTAATCAACAATAAAGGTGATGCACTGTATGATGTACCAATGCTGTATTCACAACTTGTTTCTGCTGCCTCCAAGTGGCTAAAATATTATTGCAGATTTCATGTTTGAAGGCAAGTTTCAGGTGCTTGATAAAGTTCTGATATTCAAAGTCCTGTAAAGCTCAGGATAATTTACGGAACAAAAAGTGCAATGTGTGGATGTGAGTGCTGCCTTTGTATCTGACCACAGTAAAATATACACCAATGTCATTAGAGCACTGTTACCATAGACAATAGGTTGTGTCTCTGTTGCCTGCTCCTCCTCTTTCCTTAGGGACTCTGAGGTTTCTAGTTTATCTACCTGCAAGACAAAGACAAGTGCATTTAGAACACAGCCACGCCACCTAATGAGAAACAAAATACCAAACAAGTTAAACAACCAAAAATAGTTATAGATAGGATATAACATACTGGTTAACTAATCTGTGACATCTTTCCTGACAAGTAGAAAACTGATCAAAGCTCAGGCCTACATTATTTCACCTATAAGCAAGACAATACAAAACCTAAGTGACAGGAGGGATAGTCTGTTTCAGGTGACTGAGCCAGTACTTTTTCCACCACTACACACATTCTTCACAAACAAAATCAATTTCTTCCGGCCACAAGTCAGAAGCAGAAATATGCAAAATGTCCATATCAGGTCCTCGGGGGGGAAAGCAGCAGCACCTGGATGCAGATTATCTCTCAAGCTAAAAGTAAGAGCTTGCTCAGCAGTGAATTTACTCATCTTGTAAAGGTTTTTCCACACCTCTTCAGAAAAACCGCAGCTCTGTAATTTAACTTCTCTGCAGTTTCATTAAGTTCAACCCTCCCATGCTCTGTGTGTTTCACTGCTGGGAGTGTTCACTGAGGTGAAGAGTCATTGTCAGGCCAGGTGCTCTGTACAGTTCAAAACTTTCTACAGAAAGCCAGGCACAACCAACAGCCTGCTATCAGCACATGTATTCACGCAACATGCTTGTTTCAATAACTAGCCAGCATTTAAAACAAAACAACACATACAGCAGCATATTGTGCAATGCCATTAACTGTGACAAAATGCACTTTAGACTTTATGATCCTTGTTGAAGCTTATCCACCTTTTTCAGCAACCGTGTGCCAACAGAGCAATAGATATGTTAAAACAGATTAAAGCTTCTGGGTGAAGTGCATGCTGGGTACACAGCATTTTATGCATCTGTGGTTTACATTTGTTGCAGTCTGCTGCAGATTCATAGTTATTTGAACAGGGATGCACAACATACATCTTGTATGTTATTTTCACCTGTGAAGTTTGTCATTTAAAACTGACAGCAAGTAACATCCTATTTCTAACTTGTTTCTCATCCACAAAAATTGGACAAATTCAAAATACTTCCACGTTGATTTGCATGCGTTTGAATAGAATAATATCCGATAATATAAAATATAATACAACTGTTGCAGGACAGGTTAATGCTAGATGTCAAGAAATAATGCCAAGGCTGTAAATAGGGGTGATATTAAAACATATTTTTTTGTCAAGGCAAAAGCTGTCTCGCAATAACAGTTCATACTTTTTTTTTTTTTTTTAAATCAGTAGAACCAGAGCAGCAGCTGGTATGATAGAGTGTGAAGATACAGCACTGTTTCAGTCGTGGAGTCCTACAAGTTCCTGGGTTCCATAATCTCTTGTGACTTGAAGGAGACAACCAACAGCGGTGCAATCATCAAAAAGGCACAGCAGTGGACGTACTTCATGTGCCAGCTCAGGAAGTTTGGCCCGTTGATACAGATCTACAGAGGAATCATCTAGTCTGTTCTCTGCACCTCCATCACTGTCTGGTTTGGCTCAGCAAGCAAACAGGACAGGAACAGACTCCAGTGGACAGTCAGGACTGCAGAAAAGGTCATCGGTGCCAGCCTGCCCTCCATGGAGGACCTGTACACCTCATGGTTCAAAAGGAGGGTAGAGAAGATTTCTGCAGATCCCTCACACCCTGAACACAAACTGTTAGTACTCCTTCCCCTCCAGGTCACGGTACCGACTGTATAGGTTTACACCCTGAACACAAACTGTTAGTACTCCTCCCCTCCAGGTCACAGTACTGACTGTATAGGTTTATGCTTATATGTTCACATTACACTCCTTGCTGTGTTTAACACACAGGGCTGCATTGGTCCGGGGATGAGGGGTTGCAGGGGAAGTGTTGTAGCTGTGTACAGTATGGCCAAGTTGTAACAAATCGACACGAGTAGCTTCATTCACATTTCCAGCTCGTGAGTTCCTGTTGTTTTGGTTAGCCATACTGCTAACATAGCCTACTCTACCTTAACACCAATTCTACCAGCAGTGTGTTGGCAATGATAGATAAAAAAACAAAAAGTTTAACATCCAGTACTAACAAAAATGCATGGCGTGTGGTTATGGCGCATCAACCGTGGCCCAAATTCGACAGTGAGTTGTTGAAGTGAGCATAATGTGCGGTATAGCTAAAACCATGCACATTAGAGGCTGCAGTCTTTCAAGCTAAATCAAAAACAAAGTTTTAAAGTTTCACCTGTTCCTTAACTTCATCAACCTGGAAGAGGTGCAGCACAGAAAAATAAAAATAAACATATTTCCCTGTATGAAAAATTGTGAGGGGAAGCACACTAAATAAAGATGATCTAAGAACAATCAGTATGTCTTTTATTTGATAATGATTTTTATTGTTTATTCAAAGGAAAACAATGGTATGTTCATAAATAAAAACTGAGGATGTGTCAGTGTGAGGGTGTTCACATTTGTTCTGGTATTT